CAGTGGTTGCAAACACAAAAGTTACAATTCATATGCAAGGTAAACCATCATGAATCTACTTAAAGAATTACTTGATGCCCCTCTGGTTTTGAACGATAGGAATTCAGAGTTATCAATTGAAAAATCACATATTCCCAAATCACTAGCTCAATCTATTGTCGAAAATGTTTATCAAGGACACATCTTTCCCACATCACTGCAGCTTCAACTTCATTATGTCAAAGTTTCCATCATCAATGACTCATTCAGTGCCAGAAACGAATTTAGTGGACTTGTGTCAAGTTTTTTAAAATCATTTATTGAATTTCCAAAGTAAAATATGCAATATCAAGGTTTCGACCCATCTGCTGAAGGATCAAACTTTATCATTCTACAGTCATATGTCACACTACCATACTGACAAAATCAAATCATATTTTCAAATTCTCACACATCAATTATGAGTCAGTAAGTCAAGCCCCCTGCAAATCTAGTCTTCTTAACAAAATAGGACAAATGGAATATAGAGTAGTAATCTATTACCAGGCTCATCAGTCCCATCAAGACAATCACAGAAATTATCATTAAGACGGTCTCTGCTGAATGACTTTGAACCATCCTTGCACTTTATCACCTGTGAACCAAAGAACTTCTCATCTGCACAAGTCACAAACATCAAGCTTAGTCTAAACAACAATAAAAATCAAGACTTTACATGGAATTAACAGCAAGAAGAAAATTGAAGATCTGAGTTTTGATGAGAAACGCGAAAGAGAGGGGGGGCGGGGGGAGGTACCTAAAGGGTGGGTGCCCAGTAGAGGTGAAAGAGACTGAACAGAGGATCCAAGGAAATACAGGGAGATGATAAAAGGAATCAACTTGTTGGCATTGGTACAATGGGGAGTTATATCCATGATTCTTGGGAGATTTTGAAGTTCAATTCGGGTTGCATTACACGACACAACCCCCCATGTTTCATAGAACATTGTTAGTTGTCCTTTCTCAAGTTGTAGACTTGGGTTTTGAACTTGTGACTTTCTTTTAAAGTCAAGCTTTCAAATTTTCTGTCATTTTATTTCTTTTTTATTCTAGATCTAATTAGTATTTATTTATTTAAATATTTATCGAGATTTCAATAATAAAAATAGAAATAGGTTCCTTTTCCATCTCTAAATTTGCTTAAATTTATCAAAAATAAAATAAAAATTATTTTCTATTTATTTTTATATGAACATGTTTTTTATAAATCTCTAAATTATATATATATATATATATATATATATATTGCAAATTCAAATCCACTGCTTTCCATTATAGTTTTTAAACTTGGTTTAATGGCTGGCCTAGTTTAAGATTTGGATTGGATTTTGATTTTTGATCAAATTACTGGGTTTTGACTAGGTCATTGAGTTAACTAGTTCAATTTTTTTAAAAAAAATCAAAATAACATTGTGTTAATAAAAAAAATTATAGGTTGCAACCGCGTTTTTGACCTAATCAACAGGATTAGTCAAATCACTTCAATTTTTTGTTTTTTAACTCAAGCTTGATTTTAATCTTGAATTAGTTGAATCCGAAATTAATCTACAAAACTAGATTAAGTTTTAAAACTATGATTCCAATCCTAAATCAATAACTATGAAATTCTTAAACTTTTAGGTCAAGGAGCTAAAAATAAAATGAGACCATCCTCCTTGTACCAGGAAAGTAAAAAAATAAAATAAAAATTACAAACAAATATAAATATTAATTGACAATAATTGACTAGGGAAACTATTAATTGAAATAATGATTTTTTTTAAAATATATTTTTTTAATATTTTTTCAATTTCATCTTTTAATATTATATTTATTAAAAACTAAGTTTTATAGTTTATTTTAGTTTGTTTTCTATAAAATTATCTTAATCTCATAATTCGAGTCACAAGTTTAGAATTAATTTGATTGACTTATGGTTTTTTTATTTTTATTTTTTGTAATTGAATTTCTTTTTTAATTTTATTTTTTATCATTTTGGTTGATTGATAATTGAGTTTTATAGCTGGTTTTATTTTACTTTTTATGAGGTTATTACAGTCTTATAGTTCGAGTTAAAGGTTTGATGACTTAAACTGGATTGACTAGAGTTTTTTTTAATTTATTTTTTTATTTTTATCTTTCAATATTAGATTGATTGAGAATTGAGCTTTATAATTTATTTTAATTTGCTTTTTATTAGGTTATCTCAGTCTCATGATCTATGTTTAACAAATTAATTCGGGCTAACTTAGGGTTTTTAATCCTTTTTTAATTGTTTTTTTAATTTTATTATTCAACATTGAGTTATATCAATCTCATAATCTAGATTTAACATGTTAACTCGGGTAAATTTATGTTTTTTTTTAATTTTATTCTTCAACATTAAATTGATTAAAGATTGATCTTTAATATGTTTTTGTTATCTTCATTTTATAAGTTTATCATGATTTCATGACTCAAGTTGTAGATTTTACATGTTAACTTGGATTTATTTAAATTAATTCAATATATTTTTATTTTAATATTATTTTAAAGATATTGTTTTGAATTTTTTTGTTTATGGTTACCAAGGTTATCTTTTAATTTGCTAAGGTGATTGAGGTATATCATATCAATTTCTGTATAATTTGTTTTTACTATTAAAAAGATGTTAATAATATTTAAATATCTTTTTAACTTAAAAAATTAATTAAATTTACAACATAGTATAAGTAAATTATCTAGTTATGTTTATTCATGAACATGTTAACAATATTTAAATATCTTTTTAACTTAAAAAATTAATTAAATTTACAACATAGTATAAGTAAATTATCTAGTTATGTTTATTCATGAAGAGAGTAGTCTTAGAACTGTGGCCAGAGAGGTAGCATAAAATTGGTTTTTACATTTTGTTTCATTGAATAATCTAAAGTTGGGATACCTTTGTTAGTTGCTAATCAAAATCTTTTCACACGTGTATATTTTTAATTAACTTAATTGGCTGCTTTCAAAAAATCATTTTACATCGTTGTCATTAAATCCCAGCTTATCTCGCATGTTGGCCACTTAACCCAGCTCCTAGCCCATATTGGGTTTGAAAGAAATTCATGCTAAGGTAGCTTTGATTTTATATAATTAATTGGAGAGGCCAATTTGTAGAGATTAAAATAATATATTTTTTATTATTTTTAAAAAATTAAAAATATTATTTTAATTAATCCAAGTGAAACTACATTAATTTTTTTAATTTATAACTCAGAGTTTTAAATCAAATTATAACTAGAATTTGATTTAATAATTTGATTTTATTAATGTTTATGATTTGTAATTTGGTTGATCAGATTATAATAATATTTTTTTTAATTATTTTTTAAAAATTAAAAATTATATTACTTAATCCTAGTTAAATTTGATTAATTTTTTTAATTTATAATTTAAGTTTTCGAACAAGTTATAATTATAATCGAGTTTAATGACTTTACTTTATTATGAGGTAACTTATCATCCGTGTTAATATATATATATATAATAAATGCTATATATATATATATATATATATAATAAATGCCCAAGTTAACGACCTGCTTGTGAGTGGTAAAGTGTTTTTTATTTAAAAAAAAATATGTTTTTATTTTTTAAAAATTATTTTTAATATTAGTATATATAAATAATTTAAAAATATTAAAAAAAATATTAATTTAAAATACAAAATACAAAATAAAAAAATTTAAATTTTTTAAAATAATTTTAAAATACAAAAATAAAATAAATACAAATAATTTAATGTGATGAAGTGAAATATCGATCAAACACGAGAAATTAAGGTGTGCTGTGCTTCACTTATATTTTATACTGTATTTTGGCCTTGTGTAATATGCACTAGTTTCTTTTAATAGCTATGAGTTTCATTTCTTCCGAAAAGAAATTCACACACACATTTATAAATACCGCAATAAGTAATCCTAAATATGAAGAAAACATAGTTATATATATAAAAAACACCCTTCAAGAATACAAATGATTCATTAGATCATAACGTTAAAATAGGACCCATATGCAAGCTTCATTAGTCCAATCATTCATTTATATTCTTGGAGTTTTCTATATATATATATATATTAAAATACTTAACATTATTCAATTGCAATAATAATTTCAATGTGTATATCATAACTCAAAAATGTGTCAACAATTATGCAATTCCCATGTGAGATGAAATTGGATAAGATTGTTGATTTTTTATGAATAAGTTCAATTTTAAGAAGGGAATTTGGTGAGATTATTGATATGTTACCATACATGCAATTCATACATGATCTATAATTATTAATTAGGTTCCTTTATTTTATTTTTTTGTCAAAATTTGGAAATAAAAACAATTTGTTATAATAAAAACCTAATGTGATGTTAAATCACTTAATTTCCTATGCTGAGTCCTCGTTTTTTTTTCCTTTATTTTTTTCTTAAGTGGTTATAGGCTCCAGCAATAAACAATGTCTCTATATGACATTAAACCCCCTGTTTAGGTCATAACCCATTGCAGATTGGAAAATTTTACAATAATTAGAGTAATTAATGATATTGTATTAATATATTTTTCTTTTTATGTTTGCTTATTTTTTAAATAAAAGTTTAAAAATAACTAATAAAATATCTTTTTTAAATACTAATAAAATGGAATATAGTTCAAACCCATCTCTTCATTCCTTCCAAAGCAAAAACACTTTCTACACAGTGCCGCGGTGGTATTTGAATCAGAAACCATGAAAATAATCCATGTTCTTGAACATTATAATATTCAAACAACAGTACTGTTCCGAATTCCTAATTTATACATTCACACATGTATATTCACTCTTCTCTTGAAATGAAAATAAATATAAGATTGAGATACAGAGAACAATCAGGAAACCTGCCTTCTGTCACGATGGAGACTGAAGGAGCTAAACTGTGATGCCTTGGGTCCAAGATTTTAACAATGATCCACATTGTTCTTCCCAAGATTAATTAGCTACGAGGAACTATGGTCCATCTCCTTCTCCCATGAAGAGTGTGCTTTCCATTGAGCCAAATTCGCCTAACAGCAAACACAGGTGATATAATCTACCGTTAGGAAATATTAATAATGTAGAGCAACTTCATTAAAACCCGAATTTATTGCAAGGGAAAAAAATCATAATGCAATCATACAAGCAATAAACCCAAAACTTAAGCATAACAGAGATTCAACAAACTCTTTAGAATTCCTTTGTAAGGCGATCAATCGTAATTTAATTGTTTTTTTTTTTAATTTTAAAAGTGTTTATTTTTTTTAAATTAATATTTTTTTATTTTCAAATCATTTTGATATGATAATGTAAAAAATAAAATTTAAAATTTAAAATAATATTATTTTGATATATTTTTAATTAAAAAATACTTTAAATTAATATCACGAGTGCTAGAAGTGAGATTAATTAATATATGCGTACGCGGGAATGCGTTTTAGATGCATGTGTCTATGTAATTTGCATATAGGGAAATTACCTGGAAGATAGTATTGTTGTTGATTAAATCCATTGATGGAATAGTGGTGTGGCAACGGCTGTGGTGATGGAAGAAGAAGAGAACTAGCATCTCTTCCTCGCTTTGATTTATCTAGACTTTGCACATAATCCCAATGAAAATTATGCTGGATTGAGTCTGCAATCAAATTCTCATTATCATGGCCATAACTTACCATGTTATTGTTAGCAGCTAAGCCTCCTCCTCCAATACCGTTCGCCCTATCATTTATCCCGTAAACCATCACCGGAGACTGTTTGTTATACACAACGCCCCCCTGCTGCTGTCCATTTTGGTTTTGGTTTAGCGACGGATGTTGAGATTTGTACAAGTCAAGTTCTTCCTTTAATCTCTTGAACTTCCCATAACAGCCTAAAACCGGATCATTTTGCCTACATTGAGCCTCCCAAACCAATGAATCCGCCGTCTCTTTTCGCCTCTCTTCACTAACATCTTTCACTAATTTAACAACATTGCTAACACCAAAAACTTTATGAACAGCTTGAAATTCTTGGGTTTTCTCTGCTGGAAAATACGGTGCCAATGCACAATCCTCCGTGCACCTCTTCCGTTGATGCTTGCACGCTGCGCATGCCGGATGAAACAGCGTCCGATTGTTATTATTGTTGCTGTTATTCTCTCTTTGCATCCTTATAAACCTAGCACTGTATCAAGAAATAACATAAAAACAATAGCAATTACAATCATTAACTACTACCAGAATAAGTACAATTTTTTCTCATGAAATATAACATCAAAGAATCAAGAAACTAAGTCAATCAACACATACCCTATTCACAAAAAAAAAAAACACCCTTTACGTACCGCACGTAGTGCACTAATTAATAAAAATAAGGAAGGAAATCAAGTAAAACAACAAACCGTACATCTGACGATGTGCCTTCAGGTGTGAAGTGAAAAGGAGATGTTTGTATGAATAATATATACTACATGTTACACACAAGAAGATAAAGAACAAATGATAGTCTTTGTCTAGTGCACATGTAAAGATGGCTGGCCACCGTAAAAGACACAAAGGGAGTCGTTTAGAGTGGTTGATTAGGGTTTAGGTAGCCCATATGAAGAATAAGAACTATAAGTATATACTAAACCTTTCGTAGAGGTATAGTTTTATAATAGGAAGTAAATCTAAGCTTATATTAGTTGGTTGTTTAAGATATTTGGATATTCAAGGTAAGTGCATTAATATGTAGCAAGCCATTATGATATTATATTTCTTAACAATTTCATAATAGGAAAAACAAATTGCAGTAAAGAAATATTTATTGCTTGATGATGCCATGTGGCTATAACCTATTTGTTAACTATCATTATAATCCAATGAGATTACCACCTTATCTCCATCTTTCTAAGTGTTGGCACAAAAATATGACACCCTAATTAAATTAAAAATCTAATGATGCACATAATCTTGTTTTTCTTTTTAGTGATGGCCATATGTAATCTCACATGTTACTATCATCCAAAGCTATTAAAAGTAAATCATATTAATATGAATTAATCAAAATAATATTTTTATTTTTATTAAAATAGTCAAAACAACTTAGTTTAAAAAAATCTAAAAAAATAAAATTAAGATATTTAACCAAATCAAACCAAGTTGATTGTTTATTTATTTTTTATTTTAAGTTTAACTCAGAATTGAGTTTTATAACTATACTAATATATCAATCGGTGAAAAAATAAATAAAAGCTAGACTACTAATTAGCTATGTTGGATCGTCTAATTAAGAGAGCAATTAAATGACAATAATCTCTTCCAAGATTGGGAATGTATTGAAGTGTGAGACGTTGGTACTGTGGCCCAAGGTTAGTTTTTCTATTTTCTTAGAATTTCTTTTTTATATATATATATATATATATTACCACCTACGCCAATAAAAGTAAGAATATTTAATTTTATGTAATGGGAAATTTTATATCACCAAAAATAGTTATGCTTTTCTATTTATACTATCTGTATTTAGTTTCATTGGCCTGTTTTTTATTTTATCATTTTTTTAGAAGAGAATCCCTTCGATGGAGAAAAAGAAGCAAAAACTCTTCTGATATTCAGCTTAAATCCCAGGTCCTCCAGGATAACATTGGGCAATATTTGAGGCATGTTGATTGTTATTCTTGCAATTTTTTTTTTAATTTTGTATATCAAGTGTTAAAAATATATAATTAATTATTATTAAATATGCTGTAATTTTTTTTTCCTGAATGATGCTGATGATAGTTAATGGTGCAATAACATAATCTATCTAATGATTATTTTCTTTTCACATAAAAAAATAGGTCCTTTGTGTTACACCTAAAATATACGCTAAATAATTTTTTTTTATTTCTTTTTAGGAGATCATTATCAATAATTTAATTCTTTTTTATTTTCTTTTTCCATTAACAATTTATACTTAAATTTATAAATACACCGAACATTTTTAATTAATAACTATTTTTTACATTAATTCTTAAAAGATAATATTATAATAATTCACTTCCATTTTGTATTCATAGCAAATGCCATCAAAGAGTATGTTTGGCCCCTAATGAGTTGCCTTTGCTATGATTAACGTGCTGTGTTGCTCTTAATTGTGTCATATAGTGTTGAAACAAAACAATTAATTTTTTTGGTAATACTATGGTATTGCATTTTTTGGTCATTTTATTGTTTATCTGTTTGAATTAAAATAAATATAAAATGCATAATTTATATAACAAGTTCAGTATCTAAATTAAATTAATTAAAAATTTTTAAAGTTACAATATCATATTATAAATGAAATTTTATCTTGAATTGTTTTACAATTTGAAAATATTATAAAAATTAACTAATGTATATTTCATTTCAAGAATAGTATACAACAAGATAAAATATTCATTATTATTTATAAAATCAATTGCTAACAAGTATGAACACATTTATGATGAAAAATAGATATATTCATTATTATTTAAAAGAGAATTTTATTCTAAAATACCAAAAAAAAAACAATTAAAAAATTGAAGAGTTGTTAAAAAAACCGGACACGCATGTTTGACCTAAAAAAAGACCAAACATGTTAGGTATATTTAAAAAAGATATAGAATGAACATTGTCGTGTAAGCAAATAATTTGTTATTTATCAAAATATTTTTCTATAATTAAAAAATTAATGTCTTAAGTTTTTGAACCACCAAAACCAAAATCTCAACTTATTTTATCTTAAAAAAAACCTAAAAAAAATAGAACCTCTCCAATCTCATTTTCAATCCTAAAATATTATTTAATTAGTCTAAAAACTAAAAATAAAATTGAATAAAAAACTTAACAAATCTTAATATGCATTTTTTCAATATGATTAAAGAAAAAAACCATCTTTATTGAACTCTTCTTTTTAAAATAAATTCATTGATACTAGGATTTTTTATTATTATTACTAGAATATGGTTGGCGAAAACCTCTCTTTCCTCTTTTTTTTTTTATTTGATGACTTTATATTTATTCTTTCACTTTATATTTATTCTTTCATTATCTAGGGGCTAAAATTGTGATAAAATAAAAGTTGTACGACTGAAAAAATACCTAAATTTACAGGGATTAAATGAGCAAAAATAAAAAACTCAACGAACAAATTGTACCTTGCCATGGATTGGTTGGTGACTAAAACCAATTGGTTCTTTGCCGCGCGTGCTGCATATTGCCTTATGCTACAGAAAAAAAAAAACTTAGTTTATAGTTTAATAATTTAATTGTCACATGCTATTAAACAGCATATATTAAACATTATCATACCCCAACTAAAGATATACCCATATTGAACTGCGTTCATAATCCAATCCATTTTTTTTAACGTAACGAATTCTCCTAGCAGTTTGTACATAGTAAAATTAAGTAATTTTGTTAGATTTTGAATGGGACATCCATAATCAGGAGTGGTATATTTAATAATAATAATAAAAATTTATAATCTCACATTATAATTTGACTCAATATTCTTCATCTACTTCGATAGCAATCAATCACCAAACAATTACACACATATTTCTCTTGGGGGTACAAAATCAACACGAGATAGAAGCTCGAACACGAGATTTATTGCCTGTTTCGCTACAAGCTTTTCACAATTTGTTTTTCACTGTACCAAGCCAATGTTATTAGTTTATCAAAACGTAAGCTTTGGTATAATGACAGTGACAAGCCCGTTGTCACATTGCCTTGTTAATTTATCCACTAATCATGGTGACACCACCGTAAAGTAGGCTCTCTCTTTTGGTTTCTGCCATTTTGACCCTCCTGTGCATTGATTTCTCCATGCAATTGAGCAGGAGTTCTTACACATGAAATTCTAGTACCAATCATTCTATCAGGAGATGAATTGTCGAAAGATTGACTTGGATAGCATGGAGGTTTTCATGTCTCCATAAGTCAATGTGATCACTTGATTTTCCACTTGGGTTTTGGATCTTAATTACTCTAGTTCTTACATTCATGATACTAATTTGTCTAACTAAGCAACATGTATTTTTTTTTTATATATATATATATATTTTCATAGTATTCATGATTCAATGTAACTCCCTTGTCCAGCACTTAACCAACTAACACGAGTACCAAACACTTCTGTTGTATAGTATCTTCGGCCTCTGTGCTTCCCCTTGAAGAAACAGAAAGCCATTTGTGCCATCATGGTGAAGGCAAAGAAAGTCCAGCTAAAGTTGGGTACTGCTTAGTTGCTCAACGTTGTTATATGCCTACCTTACCGTCCCCTCTATCCCTATTCAAATTCTAAACACAGCGCAACCCACTTATTCTCTCAAGTCTCTACGGATATTTGTGAAAGGAAGGTGAAAGAGACATAGTCCTTGCAGGCTTTTACGATCTTTACCTTCCTGTATCAATGGAATAATTAGAGGGTGAAGAAAACAAGGAGATCAGGTAGTTCAAGAAAATGAGCACAGCTAGGTTCATCAAGTGTGTCACTGTTGGGGATGGAGCTGTTGGCAAGACATGCATGCTCATCTCTTACACCAGCAACACTTTCCCTACTGTATGGATTAGACACTGTTATAGTGTCTCAAGGCTCAAGCTTTATTTCTTTTTTCATGAAAGGAACTAGCACTTGTAATTACAAAGTTTTTCTTTCCATGTTTCCTGTTGTAATACCCTTTTTGGTGTTGTTAATCTTGATAGGATTATGTACCTACAGTGTTTGACAACTTCAGTGCTAATGTGGTGGTCCATGGCAGCACCGTGAATCTTGGATTATGGGATACTGCAGGTTAGTATTCTTGCTTTCTTAGGTTTCTGAAAGCGGATATTAATCCCTTTCAAACAGAGACTATTAAACTATTCTGAAGAACCCTAAGAACAGGTAGTACTAATTGTGTAATCTGTGCATTCAGGACAGGAGGATTATAACAGGTTGAGGCCTCTGAGTTACAGAGGTGCAGATGTGTTCTTGCTGGCCTTTTCTCTAATCAGCAAAGCTAGCTATGAGAACATTGCCAAGAAGGTATGATTTACTATTTTCAATTCTATTTCACACGTTTGGATGATTGATTTTGATTCATCTGAGACTTTTTTATAATCATCAAAGCTTGTCTGATTTTGCTTTCTTTTTGTATCAATATTTTGTCCTCAGTGGATTTCTGAACTAAGGCATT